AGCTGGTAGAGATCCCCAAAGGATAGGAATTAGTAGGGTGCAAGTAGGCCTTTCATAGTGAAATATAAAAGTTGATGGTCCATATATATATATATAAGCAAGGCTGGTAGATTGATCTCCACTTTACACTTGTTGCTGATGTTCTTAGTAGATTGATTTCCAAAGCAGATGTGGAGGGCCAAATAAAGGGTTGGAGAATAGGGAGGAGAGGCATTTCAGTAACTCACCTTCAGTTTGCTGATGATATTGTTATTTTCTGTGAAGGGAATGATTTAAGCAAGGCTGACAACCTTAATAATTTAATAAGAGCCTTTGAGCTTGCCTCCAACTTGAGGATAAACTTTGATAAAATTTGTGTGGCTAGAGTAAATATGGAGGATTGGGAGATAGAATCCATTGTAGGGTGTTTAGGTTGCACCACCTCTTCTTGTCCTTTGACTTACTTAGTTCTCTCCTTAGGAGCTAACCCTAAAGAAAGTAGTTTCTGGGCTCCTATTGTGGAGAAATTTGATAAATGCTTGGCGGTCTGGAAAAAGAACTACATCTCAATAGGGGGTAGGGTGACTGATTAGGGCCACACTTGCCACACTTGCCAACCTACTTCCTTTTAGTTTTCAGGATTCCCCCAAGGGAGGCTAAGAAACTGGAAAAGGTAATGGGGGACTTTTTGTGGGAACCAAGAGAGGTGAAAAAGGACCATCTAGTTAGATGGGAGATAGTTAATAAACCTAAGGAACAAAGGGGCCTAGGGATAGGGAACATAGTGCAGAAGAATGAAGCCCTCCTAGGGAAGTGGTTATGGAGATGGATGACCTCGGGAGAGAGAGAGATTATGGCATGAGGTGGTGTCTAGTATTCATGGCTGCTGAGTAAATGGTTGGGATGCCGGGATATCTCGTCGAGCTACCCTTACAACACCTTGGAAGGCTATACATGGTATTCTCCCTCGCTTCCTTAGGTTTATCAAGTATGATGCTTGCTCTGGTGATTCTATTTGGTTTTGGGAGGATGTTTGGGTGGGTAATCAACCCCTCAAAGATCAGTTCCCCTTGCTTTACTCTTTCTCTCTCCGTTAACAAAAATGAGCCAATTGCAAATTTTCTTTTGAACCCATTTATTCCCATGTCTTTAAACTGGACTTTGGATTTCGTAGGGGATTAAGGGATGGTGAGTTGATTTGTGTCACTGAGCTACTTCATTTACTTGAGTCAGTCTTTTTGGACTCCACACCTTTTGATCAAAGAGTTTGGACTCCTCTTCCAAAAGGTACCTTTACTTGTGCTTCTTTTCTAAAATCCCTCAGTTCCAACCCTAATTCTCGAGTGTTCCCCTTTAACGAAGTTTGGGCGCAACCTATTCCTCCGAAAATTGCTGTATTCTGCTGGGAAGTCTACTACGGGAAAATCAATACTTTGGAAAACTTGCAGAAAAAGAGACCCTTTCTTTGTCTTTCCCCGAATTGGTGTTCCTTGTGTAAGGCCCAAAATGAGGACTGTTTCTATTTACTGATCTCCTGCTCCTTTGCTACAGCCTTATGGAGTTGGAGCCTTAGTTTATTTGGAGGTAGGTGGTCTCCGTCATCTGATGTGAGTTTGTTATTTAACCCATCTATTTTTGTATGGCACACTAGAGGAGGCAAGTTCATGTGGAAATGTATCAGGGCAGCCACCTTATGGACTCTCTGGGAGGAAAGGAATGCAAGAGTCTTCTTAGAGAAGGAAAGAAGCTTRRATGAAGTGAAKGACTRTATYCTAACAAGAGCAATACATTGGCTGAAAACCTTGGATATATTTGCTGATTTCTCTTTTGATGACCTGTCGAAGAATTGGTTAGTAATAGCTAATACTTCTACAAAGAAGAATAGAAGTTTGTTAGAATGGGATCCGCCTCCAGAAGGTGTCATCAAGTTAAATTTTGATGGGAGCAGCCAAGGTAACCTTGGGCCTTCAGGTATAGGGGGTGTCTTGAGGAATAAGGGTAGCAACATCATCTTCTTATTCTTAGGACTGGTGGGAGTGGGGGGCTCTACAAGGGCAGAAATACTAGCTGCTGTACAAGGAATTCAGATCGCTAACCAGCTTGGGGTGGAACATCTCCTAGTTGAAGGGGACTCTCAGGTGGTAACAAGGTGGCTTCTAAACCCGGATGCTACTATTTGGGGCTACAAAGACATCATCAAAAAAGTAAGGTGGTTAACCAGTAATATGAGAGTTGAGGTAAAATGGGTAACCAGGTCAGCTAATACTATGGCTGATTCTTTGGCCAAACAAGGGGTTTCCAGGGAGGATCTTTTTTGTGCTACATTGTAACTTGTTCTAGTATATTGGAAAGTTGTACTTAACTAGCTTGGAGAGGTTGCATCTTGTGCCTCTCCTTGGGGACATTGTACTATTTATCATTGATGATTAATAAATTTCTTTCAATTATAAAAAAAAAGCAAGGCTGGTAGTAAATGGATACACTCAAATGTATTGGATTGATTATACAAAGACTTTCATGCCAGTGGCAAAGATTAGCTTTGTATGGGTATTACTTTCTATTGTTGCTAATCAGTCTTGGTCTTTGTATCAATTAGATGTTAAGAATGCTTTTTACATGGGACTTGCAAGAAGTGTATATGTTGCTCCCAATAAAAAAGTTGACATGTTGCTTCCTCTTTGTCTTATACCTCGAGAACATGAAGGCAAGGTGTATGCTATATACTTAAAGGGGATGTTTGGTATCATTACCATTTTCTTAGACAATGACCAAACCTTGGAATTTCGTAAAGTAACTTTGGGTTCTGTGCATATTCTATATTCCTATTTGGTGCCAGCTAGACACCATTAGGTGCCACATAGGCAAAAAGGTGAAAACGTTGTTTCCATTGCGAAAAATGTCAAAATGATGCTTTCTCCAAAAAATTGCTTTCACAGAATCCAAGGCATTCAATGTTGCTTGAAATGGCTTGAAAACACTCAACCAAACAAGAAAAAGTGAGGGAGAGAGCAAAATGCCTACATGGTGCTTACATAGCGGAAATGCCTTGGAAAAATGACTTTGGTGCCAAACACCTTTGAAATCTATGGGCTGAAATAATTATCCAGAGCTTGGATAATTGGAAAGAATCTGTTTGCATACTAATTGGTTGTAGGGTTTGTTTAACACGATTCTTGTATTGTTTTGGGAAATACATTCTTGAGTGCTTTGATATAGAAATGGGCTAGTAATTCATAAGAGAGTTTGTCTTTCCATTTAGATATTTGTTGGGTTGTTAAATCCAAGTTTTGATTGCTTTTCTTGATATAGATTTTTGGACTTTGTGATTAATATAGGCAAATGTGGTTTTCAAACTTAGAGTGGCGACTTGACTCAAACTTTCCTTACCTAACCAAATTTTGTTTTCTTTCATATATATATAGACACACACACACATACATACATATAAATCAAACTGATAACCAAGTGGCAGTTTGTTGGATGCATTTACAGTTTAATTTCAAATCGTTATATTATAGGATTTAAAACCCGGGGTTAAAGATATTTTCGAGTGATGATTGAAAGCAGGTCAAATGATATATAATTATATATCATATATAGTGAGCCTAAAACCATTCAATTATTCATAAAAAGCACCAAACTGACCAAACCACCCAAATCGGCCTGACTTAAGCTGATATGGTCGGTTTCCAAAGTTTTTCGGTCGGTTTTTGTTCATTAATATCCATTAACCAACTGGTTGGTCTGGTTTCACTTCATAAGTATATAAACTGACAATAATCTGAACCAGATCAATTATATTTAGTGTATTAATAGTCTAGTATTAGTAGACAAAAAGTAGCATGCCAGGGAAAGCGTAAAGCTGTATCAACAATAATAGTCTTGGTATTAGTAGGCAAAAAGTAGTATTAGTAGTTGACAACAGTGTTTTAAAACGTGGAGGCGTGATGCAAGGCGTTCCACTACCTAGAGGCACGAGGCATAGTTCAGAATGTAAGAGGCGTAAGCCTCCTGAACACTAGGAGGCGTAAGCCTCCTTAAGGTGTGCATGAGATGCATGAGGCATACACCTCTTGAAAAAAACGTATGAGGCACACGCCTCTTTCACCTGAGGCTTATGCCTCAGAGGTGTTAGCGCCTCTGGCATGCGCCTCAGGGCATTTTGGGGGTGCCTTGCCATGAGGCGCACCTCCAGGCGTACACCTCTCATGCCTTTTAAAACACTGGTCAACAGTCAAAAATTATTCTTCAACCAAAAATAAAAAAGCTGTAGCATGTGAGGGAGAAAAAGAAATTCAAATTGTCAAATGTCATTCCTATTTCATTTAAAGTGTAAAGCTTAGCATAGGCATAGACTGTTAGTGTCAATAGTCAATAGGTTACAGGCTGTTAGGCTCATTTTTCCAGTCAATAAGCTTTGTCAACAGTTGGTTGGGTTTAAACCGACCAAACCAAGAAACTGGCTACTCATTTTTCAAGTCAGTTTTTATGTTGGATTTTGATTATTTTAACCGTGTACTACTGGGATTAGATTGTTTTTGATGGGTGAACAATCTTGGCTGTCTATTTCTTAGAGTTGTCCTAAGTTCACTTGTTGGCACTTTTATATAAGCTGTTATGAAGACAAGATCTACATTATCACATTTAAAGGAGCTAAGAGAGGGTCTGGGTATAATCCCTAGATACAGAAAAAGGAGAAAGGTTCAAAGCATGTGCCATTCAATCATGGCTGTAGTTTGCATCTTTTGTTTGCTTGTAATTGATTCTATCATTACCATTGAGGTTAAATAAGAGGTTGCTGTGATTTGTTCTAGGTTTTTTTTTTGTTATTGCTTTGTTTGCAGATCATGGCTTCAGATCCAACAATTTGAATCTGGGTTTTATGACAACTTCGTTTAGAGGTACTCTTCCTGTGATAATGTGTACTTTGATTTGAACTTACCATTTAAGGTTTTGTACTATTACCTGGTTTCTGGGCCTGTGTTACTTGCAATCTTATATTACATTCTACTGTGAATCAGTTGGACTAAAGGAGCGAGCATTGGGTGGCACAGTGATGATAATAGGCCTTATCTAAAACAACGTGACTTTGCGGTGTGTACATAAATTTTTGAAGATATTTCACATGCTAGAGCTGCTTAGTTTTGTGTTTTGGCATATAATTGGACCACCATTTTAACTGAAATAAGAAGTATGCCGATTTTGCTAGACCTCTTCTTTCATGCCTATGTAGTTGTCTTCATGATGTTTTGATCTCCTGGTCCCAGCTTTTATGTATTTCATGACATGCATGCTTTGGATCTAGCTATTGGCCTATTGAAAAGAAAGAGAAACCTTAGTTCACACGATGAGTCTTGTGCCAAGTATGAGATGTACCTCTTGCAGCTGAATTCAATTTTATATTCAAATTTCTTGATCTTTGGTATTCAAATTCCTCTAAATTTCTTTGTTTTCCCCTTCCTTTTTCTTATTTGAGCTTCTAGACTCTTTGATCTCAATATATTTTTTGTTATGGATTGCATCTTTCTTGTTAGTAATTTTTTTCACTATTTCTATTCATATGGCTGGGCTTAATTAGCAATTGGTAATGGCATGAATATCTTATTTTGATTGCTTTTCCTACTTTCATTGGTTTCGGCACAATTTTGGCTGTATAGGATTGGATTCTACATATCAAAGTTGGATAATTTCCAAACTTCCAGATAGAAGCTCCTTGTATTGGCATGGGAATATGGCATTAGACATGGCAGAGTGTTTCTTATTCTTTTAGGCATGTTGCTTGTCCAAAATTTAAGCATCTATTGACTTTTCTGAAGAAATAACAGAAATATACCTCCTCTCATTGGGTAGAAATGGACATTTCTCTATGAAATACATGACATACTTTTTTGTTGATAATTGAAAATTTGGATTCATTAATGTGGAGGGAAGGGAGTTGGAGTCTATTGCTGCCTGCTTAGAATGCCCTATTTCTTCTTGGCCTTTGACCTATCTAGGACTTCCCCTAGGTGCAAATCCAAAGGAAAGTAGGTTTTGGAACCCAGTGGTAGAGAAGTTTGAAAAAAATCTAGTGACTTGGAAAAATAACTATATCTCTCTGGGGGGTAGAATAACTTTGATTAGGGCCACACTCGCAAACTTACCCATCTACTTTTTGTCTGTTTTTAGGATACCTGTTAGGGAAGCCAAAAAATAGAAAAGTTGATGAGGGATTTTTTGTGGGAGCCAGGTGTAGAGAAAAATGATCATTTGATTAGATGGGAGGTGGTGAGTTGAAGCAAGGAACAAGGGGGCTTAGGGTTAGGGAACCTGGTAAATAAGAATGAAGCTCTTCTGGGCAAGTGGTTATGGAGGTGGCCTCTGGAAAGAGAGAGATTGTAGCACGAGGTGGTGGCTAATACCCATGGCTGTTCTGAATCTGGTTGGGATGCTGGGGTATCTCGACGGGCCACACTCACTACACCTTGGAAGGCGATTTTTGGCATCTCTAAAATTTCTCAAGTTCGTAAGGTATGATGTCTGCAATGGTAATTCTGTGCTTTTTTGGGATGATGTTTGGGTGGGCAACCAACCATTAAAAGACCTCTTTCCCTTCCTTTTTTTCTATTTCCCTCTATAAAAAGGAGCCTGTTTCAAGGTTTCTTTCTCCTCCTATTCTCCCATTGTCTCTTAACTGGGATTTTGGGTTCTGTAGAGGGTTGAGGGATGAGGAATTGGTTTCTGCCTCTGAGCTCTTACTTTTACTTGATTCTGTTTGTTTGGACCCTCCTAAACTAGATAGAAGAATTTGGTCTTTGACCTCAAGTGCCTTCTTTTGTTCTTCCTTCTTTAAGTCCCTATGCCCTACTCCTTCCCCTTTGTTGTTCCCAGTTAAAGAAGTATTGTCAAGGCCAATTCCACCTAAAATTGCTGGTTGTTGTTAGGAAGTGTATTATGGTAAAATTAATACTGTGTACAATGTACAGAAAAAGAGACCTTATTCATGCTTGTCCCTCAATTGGTGCATTTTATGTAAAGTGCAAAATGAGGACTGTTGGCACCTACTGATTTCTTGCTCTCTTACAATAAATATTTGGAATTGGGTTTTTATGCTGTTTTGGGTACAAGTGGAACCTGCCTCTTAAAGTAAATCTGCTTTTTCATCTACTCCTTCCCCTTTGTTGTTCCCAGTTAAAGAAGTATGGTCAAGAAGTATGTTCCCAGTTAAGGAACTTGTCCCCCAATTGGTGCATTTTATGTAAAGTGCAGAATGAGGACTGTTATCACCTACTGATTTCTTGCTCTTTTACAGTAAATATTTGGAATTGGGTTTTTATGTTGTTTTGGGTATAGGTGGAACCTACCTCCTGAAGTAAATCTGCTTTTTGATCCGTCTTTTTTTGGTTGGCCAACAAAGAGAGGGAAAGTAATGTGAAAATGTATTAGGGCAGCCCTCTTATGGACCAGTTGGGAGGAAAGAAATGCTAGAATTTTCTAGGAGAAGGAGAGAAGCATTGCTGAAATAAAGGATTTTATACTGACAAGGGCAACTCTTTGGCTAAAAACTACTGATCTCTTTGTGGATTGCTCTAGTGATGACCTTAGAAGGAGTTGGGCAGCAGTCGCCTCCACCTCATCCAAGAAAAATAGAACACGAGCAAGTTGGTTACCCCCTCCAGAAGGAGTTGTAAAGTTGAACTCTGATAGGAGCAGTCAAGGTAATCCAGGACCTTCGGGTATAGGAGGGATCTTGAGGAATAAGGATGGCAACATTCTGTCCTTATTCTCAGGTCCAATGGGTTATGGAGACTCTACAAGGGCTGAGATATTAGCTGTGGTACAAGGACAACAGATTTCCAACCAACTTGGAGTGACTAATTTGATAGTTGAAGGAGACTCAAAGGTGATAGTTGGATGGATGTTGGACCCAGAAACTGCTGTTTGGGGATATAGGGGCATCATCAAAAAAGTCAAATGGCTTACGAGAACCATGTCAGTTAGCTTTTAGTGGGTTGGTAGATCGGTAAATGCTTTGGCAGATTCTTTAGCTAAACAAGGGGCTTCAAGGGATTCTCTGTTTTTGGCTATTTTGTAACTGTAATCTGAAAAGAGTTGGGTTTGGAACCACCTTTAAAGGGAGGTAACACCTCGTGCCTCCTCTTAGGGTGCTTCATGCTTGTACTATTTCTATCTCTATTTAATAAAATACTATTCATTCATAAAAAAAAAACTTGGATTCATTAAACAAACATAATAGAACTTTACAAGCTTCTTTACAGTGGATTAACTTCCAAAGTCTTCACATGATAGAGTGCAACTTCTGTATGTAGATTGGTGGGTTGGGTCCTGTAAGGGTTGCTATTTAACCAAGACCTATAACTTAGAAGAAACAAATCAAGATAAGGAAAAACCTTCCTCCTGCAATTAAAAATGTTACTTGTCTCATGTGCATGCATTGTGAAAGTAGTCAAGTTATTTACAGCATTTCACAGGTTTCTTATGCWTGTGCAAACTGGAGGTGAGAGTCAACCACCTGGTCCTTAAATTACATTTTCAGCATGACATATTAGGTAAGCAAGAGTTCAAGAAGCCAAGAAGCCAGATGGGTTGCTATTTAACCAAGACCTATAACTTAGAAGAAACAAATCAAGATAAGGAAAAACCTTCCTCCTGCAATTAAAAATGTTACTTGTCTCATGTGCATGCATTGTGAAAGTAGTCAAGTTATTTACAGCATTTCACAGGTTTCTTATGCATGTGCAAACTGGAGGTGAGAGTCAACCACCTGGTCCTTAAATTACATTTTCAGCATGACATATTAGGTAAGCAAGAGTTCAAGAAGCCAAGAAGCCAGATGGGTTGCTATTTAACCAAGACCTATAACTTAGAAGAAACAAATCAAGATAAGGAAAAACCTTCCTCCTGCAATTAAAAATGTTACTTGTCTCATGTGCATGCATTGTGAAAGTAGTCAAGTTATTTACAGCATTTCACAGGTTTCTTATGCWTGTGCAAACTGGAGGTGAGAGTCAACCACCTGGTCCTTAAATCACATTTTCAGCATGACATATTAGGTAAGCAAGAGTTCAAGGTTGTCCTCATAAGACAGAAGACAACCTTGTCTAATTCCTTTAGAGCATCCAAGAAGCCAGATGGGGATCCATGCACAAAGACAAAAGAAAAAAAAAGAGCCAAGTACAGCCAGCCCCTAATGCACCTACACCATGCATGATCAAATCCTCTAAAACGAATTGTGTATAGAGGATGTTGTGGTTCAACCTCTTGTATCCATTTACTGCATGTGAATACCCATATTTGCAACTAGCAAGCCACCCCTGGCTTAGCCACATGACAAAGTCAGCTTCCCTGAACCAGTGTTATCAAAGTGTCAACTAGTTGACCAACTAGTCAGTTTCTTGCTAGACCAACTCCATCACTAACTAGATCAATAGCCTTGATGTAGTCGCCTGGGACCAAGGTTAAAAGTATTGATACTATATGCCCTGGTTCAGGATCTGTAAACATGTTAGTCTATGACTTGTGCCTCCAGTTGGGGGGTATTGATTGTAAATTTATTTGTTTTTTGCTTTATCTAATGAAATTTCTATACTCATTGAGAGATTAGCAAGTATGGGGCAGTCTCAGAGCTCTTCCTGCAAAGAAAACACATGTTAGGGGACGAACTCCATATTGGCCTTTTTCTTTGAATAACATTGTCATTTATGTAGTGTTACTTGTTCAGTATTGTGTCTTAGGGTCAATGCGGTCTTTTTTCCAGTCTATGTTTTCCCTAATATAATAAGATGAGGGGCTAGTGCCTACTCACTTTTTTGGCTCCCAAACTTTCTCTTCTCTTGTCTTTCTTCCTTGAAACTGAATCAGACAACATGGTATCAGAGAAGGGTTTCTGATTATACTGATTGACTCTTTCACTCTTTCCCCTTCTCCTTTGATCTGCAGATTAATAAACATGTCAAGGAAGTGATCTGAAATTTCAGAAGTTTCCAAGCTAGGCCACAAATGATCACCCCTGCTGTTAACTCTCTTTTTTTCATACTTGCAGTTGTTTGCTATGGTTTTCTTGAGTCTTATATGTGCAATCTTTCTTCTTCCAACAATCTATTAAGTGTTATTACAAAGTCAATGTTTTCAATAATTTACTCCAAATTCTTTAGACTTTTCAAATATCTCCGAAAAATTAGTGAAACATCCCAAAATTTCCTCATTTCTTCATGGATAAACATCCATTGATATTGAGATTAGAAACCATGGTTCGAATGGAAGTGGTCTATTTATAAATTTTGTGCTTATCTACATATAACATCCTCTTATGCATATCTATGCTTCTATGAGACAATACAATATCTCAAATTGTGTCAATCTAATAGACTATCTTGTTCAAGTGGTCTCTAATTCTTTATTTACACTGAAATAGTTTTCTTGTGTCTGAGGGTAAAAGGTAGTCTGCTATTTGAATACTCATGGAAAGGATTTCAAAGGTGGACTTTTCCACTTTCAAGATGGGGAACCTTCAACCATTGTTCCCATGGCTGGAGTAAGTGGCAATTTGTTAGTATATGTTCTGCTGTATACATGTTAGAGAGTATGCTGGGTCACTAATTATTATGTCTTGGTATTATATCAGGATGTTGTGATGTACACAGCTGACAGTCAGAATATTCATTCCGTTGACGAGGTAGTTTCTGTAGATTCATTCATCTCATCCATCTAGAATATGCATTTATATTTTTGAAGTGGCACCTTTTTAATTGTGGGGTATGATAACCTGATACCATCTATAAGTGGGTTTTGTATTGTTTTGAAAACTTTATTTTATTGCATGTCATAGAGGCAATGAAATTGCCTAAGTGGAAGGAGGTTATGGCCTAGAAGATGAAACACCCTCATCAAAACATTTAACATGGGAATTCATTCACTTGCCTCAAGGCAAGCAATGATCAGTTATAAAAGGTTATGTAATGTGAAGTACAGCATATGGATAGTTCAATTGAAAGATGCAAATCTTGAAATGTGGCAAAGGTATACACATAAACCTACAACATTGATTATTAGGGTACCTTTGCTTTGGTGGCTAAGATGAACTCTATTCGGGTAATTCTATCTCTAGTAGCCCACTACTCTTGACCTTTAATATCAATTGGATGGTAAAAATTAAAGAAAAAACTTTCCTCAATTGTAATTTAGAAGAGGTGTATGTCAAATTGCCACTTTGTGTGACTCTCTTAGATAGTCAAGGGAAAGCATGCAGACTCAAGAAACCCATCTATGGCATTAATCAATCTCCTAGGGTATGGTCTGATAGATTCAGAGGATCTGTCCAAAAGATTTAGTTTTGTATATTCTCATGCTGATCAAACTCTCTTAATAAAGTGGGTAAAGGTTCTCTTACCATGTTGATAGTGCACATAGATGACATAGTGGTTAAAGGGGATAGTCTTACTGACCTCACTATATTGAAGGCATCACTGCATTAGAGATTGAGATAATGGAAAATTATTTTTTGGTATCAAGGTAGCATGGTCTAAGAAAGAGATATTTGTCTCACAAAGAAAGTGTCTTAGGTCTTTTTGAGGAAACAAGGAGGCTGGGGCCAGACTAGCTAAGACTCAGATAGATCCAAACCATAAGTTGGGGGCTAAGTATGGGGAAGTTCTCCTTGATACAGAAATGTATCAGACCTTGGTGGGTTGGCTACTGTACCTTTGCTTCACTCACTTAGATATTTCCTATACCTTAAGTGTGTCAGCCAATTCATATACCAGCCTAGGACCTCCCATATGCAAGCAGTAGATAGGATCTTAATTTACTTGAAAGGCAGTACGGACAAGGGACTGCTGTATTTCAACAACCATGGTCATCTTAACTCTTGAGGTAGAAGTTTATACTGATGTTGATTGAGCTGGATCCATAGAGGATGGGGGGATCTATTTCTAGCTACTCTACTTTTGTTGATGGCAATATTGCTTCATAGAGAATAGAAGGCAGAGGTATAAGAATACGTGTAACCAATTTTGGGTTGGTAGAAATGTATACCAAGGATGTCAAAGATCCTTCCAATCCGGCAAGCCTAGGGTTTCCAGGAGGAGCTGCCATCCAACAAACTGTTTCTTGACCTCCTAGCAACAGGTGGGAATGGGGTAGCTCTATCAAGATTAACAACAGGAGATGAGTGTAGGATTTTTTGGATGTCTTCCATAGGAGATTCCTTAAAATTGTTTGGCACTAAGCCTTGTTAAATTCCTAATTATTATTATATTTTGATTGGAAACGGTAACTTCATTAAAGAGAGTTCAAAGCCCAACTGTCAACCCCAAAAATAGGGTGTTGACCCAAACTACAATTTAATTACAACACTGCTCAAAACATGTTCTCCCTAACAGTCCCTTGTTTTGCTAATGTATCCGCTAACCCATTAGCTGACCTTCTTGTCCACTTGAAAAACACACCAATCTCCCTTGTTATGCCAAGTATTTCCCTTATCAACTGTCTATGTTGCCAGGCTCCCAAGCAACCTGACTGCATCCATCCAATTAGCAACTTAGAATCTCCTTCTATTTCAATTTGATGCAACCCCAGCTGTTTGGCATATCCTACACCTTGAAGCAAAGTGATCACCTCTACTCTCAAGGAAAATCTCTCACTCCTATTGGTCCCGAAAGCATAACTATTTTTGTTCCTTATCCATCTCTAAATGCTCCTAATTATGAACAAATTATTTCTTACATTTTAAGTATATTAGAAAATAATCATTATGAAGATAAAAAGATTAATATGAAGCCTTGTATTTGATTTCATTTAGAGTAAAAGAGGGGATGGGAGAAATATTCTCAATACTCTGCCTATGCATGCTATTTCTTTTGGTAGTAAAATAAAAGGAATTTTATTAAGAAAGAATAAAGTATAATAAAGGTGATAAGATATCACCCACTAAAAACAAGCAAAAGACCCAAGAGAAAAACCAAACTCCCAAACCCAAAAACAGAAGAAAGGATAAATTTGACTTCAGAACCTCAGAATATTAACCCCCAAACTCGCTTCCAAAACAAAACACCCTCACTAACCGGTACAACAATGCCCATCAAACAGAAAATTTCCCTCAGTAGAGAACTCAAGACTGTCAATAATTATATCAAGAGTTTTTGGTGTCCAAAGGATACTGTAGTTCTAGCTCCTGAAACATTCTTCTAGTGTATTCTTCCCCTCCTAAAACCAATAAGCTCAACTGCTTGCTCACTTGGACACCAGTTTCCACCGTCTTTTCCACATCCACCTTTTTCTGAACTTTTCAAACTGTCAAATTCCACTTCTTCTTCCTCTTCAGCTTCATCAACTTCTTCCAACCATCCTCTTCCTCCGACAGCACCCCTTCTCTTGACAAAACCTCTTCAGTGGGGACTTCTAAATTATCAACCTCAACACCGCTGACTGGAGGGCAGCTTGATAAATCCTCAGCAATAGTGTCTCTGATCAAGTAGGCTTTGTTCTTCACTAGGGGTGGCAGTGAGCCGAGCTTTTCACGAGCTGCTCGAGCTCGGCTCGGCTCGGTTTCAGCCGAGCTCGAGCCCAATTCAGTGGCTCAATTATTAAACGAGCCGAGCTCGAGCCTACTAGAGCTTGGCTTGTGAGGCTCGTGAGCCGGCTAGAATATATATATATATAATAAAATTATTATAGTTATTAATTATTATAATTCTTAATTTTTAAATATAAAATAAAAAAATTATATATATAATTTTTATTTTATAAAATATTTTTATAAAATATAAAACGAGCTGAACAGAGCCTTCTAGAATAGTCTCGAGCCGAGCTTGAGCTTGGTACTATTTGGCTCGGCTCAGCTCGAATCCACCCCTATTCTTCACCTTTTACCTTCTATAGACTCTCTTGAATTGCTACTTGGGCCTGCACTTATGAGTTCATCTTTCAACCTAGAGAATACCTTGGTGATGTGAATTAGATGCCTAGTGTTGTTGTTCTTCGTCTTCTTAGAAATTACTGATAAATTCAGAAGGGATTTATGTTGTTTTAATGCCCCAAGTTTCCTTGTTCCCTGCACTTTCCTTCCAAGATCTCTGCCTAATTTCCCCACTATGACTTCTGAGAAAACTACCTCTTCTTTCTCAGACTCCTTACCAGCTTGAGAAACTACAATGTCTCCCTCAAAACTTTCAGAACTCTGCTCTGAGTTCAAAGAACCATCCGAAAGGGAAGTAGCGCCATTCTTTCGCGAGCACACTTCTGCCGTAGTAACTTGACTTTCTTGCACTAACTCTTCCTCAACCATAATCAAGGGAGAACCAGGCTCTTTCTCTCTGCCACAATCAGGCTGCAAATTCTCTTGTTCCACTCCCTCTGAAGTTGTGAGAAAGCTCTGGCTCTATTCTTTCCCACGGAAAACATACACAGAAACTAGACCAGATTCATTGCTTCTGTCCATCACTTCTATCTCTTGAATAGGGCCTTTCAAAAGAGGACAAACCTGTCCAAGATTCATATTGATGACACTCTTTTCTTGATTAAATTTTGTTACCACCCAGTCCCAAACCTCATTGACCTTCCTATTTTTCAAACCATTGCTTTTGGATTCCCCCTAGTAATCAGTTTTCTGCGGCCTAAGGAATTCCTGGAACTCAATCACAGGGATGTTGCTCTTCCTGAAACGGTGTGTCTCCATTTTCTTTCCAATGGGATCCTCACAATGAGAAGAGGATAGGTCATAAGATGGGTTTACCGAAACAGCACTGCTTAAGTTGGCCACGTGATTTGTAAAAGAGATATCTGGGACAGTCTCCAATCCCTTCGGCCCAATCCTTACCTGCCCAGGAGACTTGAGAGATCTATTACAAGTAGAGGGGGCCATACATGTTGTCATGTATATTAAAATGAAGCCATAATAACATCATAGAGATTCCATTGAAAATGATGAAGACCATCTACAACACCTGTTAGAAAAAGTGATCTGTTACATGTAGATGAAATGATTTAAGAACCCATAAGTTAATGATGGATAGGACACTGAACAGAACAGAATGGAAAAACTGGATTCATTTAGCTGACCCCATATGGTGGGGACTTGAGAGAAGGCTTTCATGATGATGATATTCCATTGAAAATGATTGGTAGGAACATTTTTATTTGATGATGGAATAATCTAACCACCTTTTCTTTGATAAATAAGAACAATTCTAATTTATGGTTGTAGAGGATACCCAAAGACATACTGTGAAGGATCAAGAAAGCTGAGTTACTAACATTGGGAGAAGCTTCTGTAGAGAGGCCAACTTTTATTTGTTATTGTTCTCATTACTGTTGTTGTCTTTCCAGACAAGCCATTATTTTCTGGCTTATAAGTTCTTGTTTTCTTATCCTTCTACAGATTACTGAGGGTGAAAGACTTACTTTAACATTGTGGTTTAGCCGGGACAGTTACCATGATGAGGATGTCAAACTTATTTCACTTCTCTCTCAGAATTTCTTGAACAGTAAAGAAGTTGAACTTGGTTGGTACTTGCCTTTACCTGCTTCTAGTGACATGTACTGGTTTTCCCCAGACACTGGTTCTCGTCACAAGTCAGGATTTGATATAAGCTGTGCAAGAGCACACATTCTTGGATTTACATTTTATTCTTCTGATGATAAGATTGGCTCCTCGTCATCAGATTCATCTCATGATCTTTCAGAGCTACTTATGAAGCCACTATGTTTAGGTAGGGAAGAAGAATTGCTTGAGAAGGAATTTGACAACAGTTTGCATGCATTGCAGGTATTCTATTTTCTGAACCCTAAATTACAAACTTTCTCATGGAATATTATATGCTTTCTTTAATATCATACATGGTAATGTTCATGGAAATAGGCCCGATTTTATGTTGAAAAATGCCATTACAGTTCTCTGATCATTGACTTGATTATAATATGTCACTAGTTTATAAGTTTTGATTGCAGTATATAATTATTATCTCATGATGCAGTAAAATGGATTCAAGGGGATTAGAGTTATGGGCATATCTTTAAATTTATGTGTTCCGAAAGCCTTTAATTATAAAAGCTTAATGGTCTGAGACCAGGATCATATAAAGATTACAAAACAGATATCAATTGATGAGTTAAATGATATTTTTCTTTTGAAGTTTCTGTTATCTTTTTAGACTTCCACTTGAATGATAAATTGCATTTATTCCAAGAACTAGAATTCGGGAATTAATTTGAAAAATGTAATACATAATCTCACAATTGTATTGTGCATTGCAGTATTTAGAAAATTGTAAGTGTAGTGACCTTTTAGTATTGCTTGAAAAGCAGTGTCATTAGAGTCTCTCAGAGTTGATTTTTTTTGATAGGCAACCATAAAAGTTATTTTATTAGAGTGGAAAGAATATAAAATGCATGTTACAAGGTACAAAGAAACTGATATGTTTCTCAACAAAATCCCCTTTTCTGTAGGCTAGGCCCTTAGTTTACAATTCCCCCATACAACTGGTCTTTATGAGCACCCTGTTTAGCTAGTGCATCTGCTAACCCATTAGCCAATCTCTCAACCTATTGATCACTTGCTGCCATTTCCTCTATCAGCCTCAAAAACTTTCTCATGTTATTAATATGCTTCCAAGATCCTTCTTGCTGTTTCTTATCCACCCTGCCACCATCTTTGAATCACCTTCCACTGCTAGGCTACCAAAGTTGGAACTTGGAAGTTCTTACCATTTGTATCCCTTGCAAGGATTGCCAAGATTTCTGCTCTTGTGTAGTCTCCAACACCTGTAGGCCCAGAATAGAAATATTGTATATGTCCCAGCACAATTTCTGAAAACTCCCCCTATGCCTTAGATGCTTGGATTACCAAGACTGCAGCCATCAAAGTTGAGTTTGATTTAGCTGTGTAGAAGTGGGCTCCACACATCTGATGCTAAAGGCCTTACTGATGCTTGGGTTACCAAGACTGCAGCCATCAAAGTTGAGTTTGATTTAGCCGTGTAGAAGTGGGCTCCACACAACTGATGCTAAAGGCCTTACTAAGATGAGCTTCCAATTACCTGCCAGGTGCCAGCCTCTTACAGTATCATGAAAAGAAACTTGTCTACTGTTTTCACCCAGGGATAACCCGTATACAGTTATTTTCGATTAGTGCTTCCCTAGATAAGCATTTGCCTTGGAAAATTCTTGAATTTGTTTCTTGTGAAATGTCCACAAAACCACAGCCCTAGAAGGTAACGTGGGAAGCTCTCCTTTTTCTTGCTTTCCTATTTTCCTTTCTTCTGTAATTTTGAAACCCTTGAAGTTGCTCATGGGTGGTTATTCTCCAACCACTTATTGTTGCGTTATTGTCCTATTTTATCAGTCTTTCATTGATGATTAATTCAGTGAGATCTAACCCACTTATTGTTTCATTAATATTTTCTCTTATATCTTTGGAGATGGTTGAAGTGGACTTCAAGAGGGTTTGTTTTGTGGAATAATATGCCCTTTGGAGCAGAATATACTCTTGGGTTTTAGTACATAGAAATTTTAGGGACACCCTTTATATATATATATATATATATTTCATTTATGATTCTCTGTTTTGTGAGTAGAAAAAGGAAATGATTGTATGGTCATTATATGGTTGGCACAGCTTCTTGCTGTGGCTGGTCTTGTATTTTTACTCCTTTTTTAAGACAACACTTTACTTTCTTCAAAAAAAAAAAAAAAGTTTTGTTGCATAAGATCAGCTCTTGGATATACAGAAAAAATCTAGTGTGTGCTGGTATTTAATCCCTCAGACTTGGATCTCCAAACCAAATGTTCTATGCTGTTCCAGCCCAGTGTTTTCAACCCATTGTTGACCTGATCGGTTGAACCATTTGAACCACACCCTGCTTTGATTCCGGGTTTGGTTCTGTTGAAACCCGCTGTTTGGTAAAAAAGCGTTGACTTGGTAGAAAACTGTCTGACTCGGGTGGTTCAACCGTTGACCCATTCAACCTGGTCACCGGGTCGCAGGTTGCACACTCAATGTATGTGCAAACTTCCGGAGGCCATAAAATCTTGCACTCCGATGTCCGACTGGGGTGATCTTTTTTTTTTTTTTTTTGATTTTGGGTAACTTTTTGAGATCTATGCATCCCAAGGCGCCAATGGTGCCTTGCCCCGCCAGTTCCTTTAAAAATAGAGGCTTTTTGTTGGAAGGTCTTTCATGGAAAAATCAACACTCGGGATCTGCTACAAAAGAGAAGGAAAAATGTTTGTTTATCCCCGAACTGGTGCACACTCTGCAAAGAAAATGGTGAGACTGCCTATCACATTTTCATCTCCTACCCCTTTGCTACCTTTATTTGGGACCGGTTCTTTGATTTCTTTGGATGCAGGTGGGCTCTTCCTACAAGCTTAGCTAGTCTGTTTACAGGTGAAACCTTTAGGTGGCCAAGGAAAAGAGGAAGAATTTTATGGAGATGCACCAGGGCTGCAGTGTTATGGACAGTTTGGGAAGAAATAAATGCAAGAATATTCAAGGAAGAGGAGAGATATGTGGAGGACACACTAGAATGTGTTCTCTTAAGGGTGATTCTGTGGGTTAAGTCCTTGGACTTGTTCTCATCTTTTTCTTTGATGACATAAGGAGGAATTGGAGGGAAGTGGCTTCTTCATCTACGTGTAAACCAAGGAGAGTTAAGATATGGGAGCCTCCACCAGAAAATTTTATAAAACTCAATTTTGATGGGAGCTGCCTTGGTAATCCAGGTCCCTCAGGTATAGGAGGGGTTTTTACTTTTTAGGGACAAAGATGGAATCATCTTATCTCTTTTCTCAGGTCCTAGTGCTCAAGGTGACTCCATTAGAGCTGAACTATCTGCTGTTCTGTGTGGGGCACAATTAGCAAAAAGTCTAAGGCTTAGAAGGTTGGTTGTTGAAGGGTATGCTCAAGTGGTGATAAGCTGGTTAGAGAATGAAAAGAAAGCAGCCTTGACCTACCGAGAAGTGGTGAAGAAGATTAAGTGGCTCTTAAGGGATATGACAGTATGTTTTCATTGGGTTCCTAGGGATGCTAATGGGATGGCTGATTCATTAGCCAAACAGGGAGTTGTCATGGAACAATTATTCTGGGCTCAATTGTATTAACTTTGATCACTTAGGGGCAGTCAGTCATACCCCACTTGTTCATCTCTGTACATTTTTATTTATATTAATGAAATTATACCTGCTAATTATCAAAAAAAAATTTTGTGCCTTGCCCTGCTATTTTCAACAAAAAAACCCTTTTTGGGGCTTCAAATTGCAATTTTTAACATTTCTTTCACAAATAAAAAATAAAAAAATGTCGGTTGTCTAGATATAAGAAACATATTGCGAATGTTGGAAATATTGTAAAAATTATAGACATGGTGGAAACATTGTAAAATATGCAAAATATAGAATGATATTTTATGAAATGATAAAAAAAGCATAAGAACACCTTTTTAAATTATTATCTTGTTCCAAATCATTAAACAAAGCTAAGAAACTAAGGTTATAGAGAAAAGAATACATTCTGGAGTTGCCCTGTAAACCTTAAGATTCAGATCTTCATGATATAATGATTTGAAACAAAATTTAAACTCATAAAAAATGTAAACGGTTATAATAGATCAACCAAAAAATCTAATACACACAAAAAAAAAACTTCATGTTTGAAATGAATATTGAGCTAGTCCAAAGTGGTAATCATATAAGTTAGGTGGGCAATAACATTGTTAATTCACATATCTACAATATTGTCACCAATCTATGCTATAATACTATCTCTTATACTCCACATAGTGCCGGTAGTGTTCATTGGGGAATATGTTGATTCCAGTAAAATTTCATGCCTCTAACCATGGAAGTGGAAATGGAAATATGTTGTGGAAACTATCTCTTATACTTCACATAGTGCTGGTGTGTTCATTGGGGAATGTGTCATTTCCGGTAAAATTTTGTCTCATGGTCTAACCTATTTGACCTAGACAGTCAAACCGGTGACGTGTGACCTGGAGTCAAAAGCGGGTCAGCCTCCAGGTCGGTTTTTAGAACATTGCATTACCCTAAAGCTAATGAAAACTTGTCAACCAATGTGTTAAAAGGCCACATGTTATCATGTGAGAGATCTGTAACAAATTCAATGATTCATTTATCTTTTTGACACAATAGCAAGGACACAGATCTTATTATAAGTCCTCTACTATTTCAGTAAGAGAGGAGATATTTTTCTTATGAACAATCTCTCTCTCTCTCTCTCTCTCTCACACACACACACACACACACACACATAGACATACGCCCCCTTTAAGCTAGAAGCTCCCTTTGTGTCCACAAATTTATGTCACCTCCTTGACAAGCAACTTTAATGTTACTAGTTCCCAATCATCTGACTTTTGTCAAAGCCTCATCTCAATGTTGGAAGACAAATCAGAACAAAATCTGGAACACATTGATGGAAGTTCTACTAGGAAAAGCTAAGGACAGTACTAGGTGGACTTTAAGTCCCAAAGTAAATAAACTTGGATTAGGTGAATAAACATTGGACTGAATTTGATGGTAAGACCTAGGAACAGAAACCTTGCAGACAGGAAAGGGAAAATAGAGCTTTTGAAGTTGACAAGCTGTAGAGGAAGAAAAATCAATTTAATCTTTTGTCCAATGTTGTTGGAAAGACTTGTGCAAAGTTACGAAGTCCCTGATTTCAGGCCTCACCTGTTGCTTCTACTATGGACAATCATACAACAGTAGAGCCTTTTAGGTTTAGACCTTGCAATGGAAGCCTTTTTCTTG